AAGGCGAAGAAGAAGGGCGGGCGCGGCCGGGGCGGCAAGGCCAACAACCCGCCCTACCTGCCTCCCGAGGTACGTGCGGGCCGGCCCTGCGTGTGCTTCCGCGCGTACGCGTGTGTGTGCCCATGTGTGTACGTGCGCTTCTGCGTGGCTGTGCCCCTTGGGTGGACACGCCTGTAGCTCTGTGCTTGCTTGTACGTGTGTGCGTGTACATATATATGTGCGTGCACTTTTGTGTGTGCACGCTTCTGTGTGTATGCGGGCATGTGCGTGTACTTCTATGTGCGCATACACATGTAGGTGGACGTCTGTGCATGCGCACACTTGTATGTGTGTGCCTGTGTGTACCTGCGCATACAGGCATGCACGCGTACAGGCGTGCACACAATTTTGTGGGCACATGGTTGTATGTGTGTGCATGCATGTGCCTCTGTATGTACAGGCACCGCTATGTGTACATGCATGTACACCTACGTGTGTGCATGTGTCTGCACTTGTACACATGCAGATAAGTCATTTGCAGCTTCGTGGGGGTGGCATCCCCCCTGGCTGATTCTGGGCAGTGCCATGAAAGCAGTGGGCAAGCAGAGGGAGCAGGGGCCCTGGCAGCGATGCAAGACGTGATGAGGTGGCGGTGGTGTTATCCCTAGCTGGGGCAGGCCGCACAGGGAAGGGTTGGCCTCGGCTGAGAGGTGGCCGCTTAAGTGGTAGATCTCTGCAGAGAAAGAGTTTGCCCCACCGTGCCCATGACCTCTGTCTCTTCTAGCCTCTCCCCTCGGCTCCAGTCCTGGGAGCATGGAGGACTGAGGTGGATGGTTTTCTCAATTAACCAGGCTGGAAGCAGTCCCTGCAAGTTGGCTCAGTTGCCATGATTGTGGTGGGATGTGTTAAGATGCAGTTCCATGAGGCCTGAATTGTGGCTTTGCCCCCTGGGGGGGGGGGGACTGGGGTCCCCCCCCCCCCCCCCCCCCCCCCCCCCCCCCGCCCTCACCCCCATGGGGTCTGAGACAGCCCTGCTCCTTGACCTGCCTGACCTAAAGATGCCCTGCCGGGAGGGTGCAGGCATCAGCACAGCAGTGCTTGGCCTCCTGTCAGCAGGTGGAAAAACCTTATAGCCTCATAGTTACTGGGTTGCATAAGGATGAGTGTTGTTCCTTATGCAACCCTGAATGCCCTGTTCCCATCCCTTGTGGATATCTCATCTGCCAGATTGCGTGGGAACATACCCCTAGCTCCTAGGCCCACATTCCTGGCTCAGCAGGCTCCAGCAGCTCCACCCCCTCTGGTCTAATGGGATTCTCTCTATATTTGCTGATTTGGGGGAGCCAGCATGCAGAGGGTCCCCTCCCAGCCCTGGAAAGCAAGAGAGGAGGCATCCCATTTCATGGGGCTTGGCCTGGAAAGGGGACATTGTAGTCTCTTAAGTGCAGACAGTTCCCCAGGGCATGGGGCTGAAACCCCTGTTCTTGAAGCACAGGGCTTGCCAGGCTGGCGGCACTGCTGCTGTCTCTTGAGGAAGGTTTAAAATCCCAGAATGGCGGTGAGGGCACCTATTTTTGTGCAAGGCAGGGCCCTTGCTCTCAGGCTTGGGGATCAAAAGGTGTAGCTTCCTGTAGCTTCAGTTGGGACCTCCATACTCTGTTCCCAGGGACAGCATTGTCTTTTGTGGCACCTTGGTGGTTGTGCCTGTCAGTGGATAGCACAGCCAGTCCCTGGAGGCTTCGGTATCTCTTCCTTTCCTCTGCAGACCTGCATGCTCCATTGCTGGGCAAGTCTGTACTTGTTGCTTTGGTTTGTATAAGCCAACACGGCAGCGCTGCAACTTGCTCCCAAAAACACAAAAAAAACATCCATATGGGTCAGCCTCTGCACTGCTATCAGTGATTTACTGCCTCATCTCCAGAGATGCTGTCTCCCTACAGGAAGCAGCCTTGTTTCCTTTGCCCTTGGGTGGTGATCGGTAGGAGATGGAATTTGATATCGGACACACCTTCTTTCTTGGGGTTGGGGTGGACTTGTTGAGTTAGTGGCTCTTTTTTCTATTCCTGGCTACAGCAATCTGATTAGGCAGCAGTCCCTCCTGGGGAAGCCCCTCTGAGTTGTGCACCCACAGGAGCTCCCAGTCCAGTCTGTTTCTCTGGAGCTGTTAGTAGTTTGTTTCATCACAAGCTGATCAAATAGTGCTTGCTTCCTGATGGCTGTGTAGAACCTTGCTTCCCTCCCTGCAGGCTAGCCAGAAATGTTAATGCCTCATTTAGTTAGAGAAGCACTTAGTGGAAATGGGAGCAACTGCTGTCAAGGAGCGGATGGTCTCTGGCAGGCCAGTTCAGTGCTGGAGTGATTCTTGGGAGCATGTGTTAGAACAGTACAAGGAGGGTGGGAAGGACGGGAACCTCCATGGCTCAGTGTTGGAGTGGGGGAGGGAAAAGGGAGAGGCTGTGTGTCTGTCCCAGATCACCAGTTCTTCTTGTACAGATCTAGGGGAGGAGGCACTGGATGGTGTGGCGTTGGGGAGGGGAGATATGGCACCTTTCACTCCAGATCACCAGATCCTGAACAGGTCTAGCCAAACTGTGAATATAAGTTATACCTGTCAGTAATGTAATGGCCTTTGTAAAATAAAATGTAGCAGGGGGAGTATTTCTGTCTGTTTTATAGAAAGTCACCTGCTCTACCACTTGTCACCTCAGCAGTGGCACCAGGAATTGACTGTGCCGTGGAGAATGAGTCCTCTTCATCCACCCCTACAGGGCAGGGCTGTTTTGGAGATAGTGACCTCTTGTTACTTTCAGAAGGGTTTTGGCTGGCATCATACAGATTGGCTAATGCCTTTACACTCCACTCACTTAGACTCCTAGCGTTCACAAGAGAACATCCCAGCTGTTTGTTACCAGACAGACAGCGGCAGCATGTGTCTGGGCAGTTCCAGGGGAGCACCGGAGTGAGCCCTGCAGCTCTGGCCAAAGAGGCTGCAACGTATCGTGTGTACTGAATGTTGTGTGGTTTCTTTCTGAAGTAACAGGAAGAGCCCTAATGCTGCTTGACTGCTGATTATACTTCCCACCCCACCCAGGCCAGTGTGCAGGCTCATGGTGTGAGGGCAGCCCAGTAGGTAGGGAAAAGTATCTGCAGAAGGTGCCTTGGTGGCACAGAGGGTCATTAACCCATGTATCTTGTTTTGTTCTTTACCAGGCAGAAGATGGGAACATTGAGTACAAGGTGAGTCCTTTGGGGGTTGCAGAGAGGATACTCCCTAATCTGGGGCTCATGGGAGATTAAATGAATAAAGGCAGTATGTAAGGGAGGTGTCTTGGTACACCCCAGGAAACCTGCCCTGGGGAGGAGGTGCAAGAAGACAAGTAGACTACACTATCTACGTAGCTTTGGGCTCTCTGAATTCAGTGGTATGGGTTGATGTAGAACAGACTGGATCCTAGATTTCATGCAGTACAGAGTCCCTTAGAGCTACACTCTATGGGCCCTCACATGACTGGAGCAGTCAAGTGATCAGTGTGCACTTGGCTTCTTCTGAGCCATATTCCCTCCTTAGAGAGACGGAGCTACTGATGCCAGTTATGGCTCTTCCAACCACACTGCAGAGCTGTCCCACCACTCTTAGCTATTGAAGCCATTACAAATGTGGTTGAGCCCATGCTGGCCCTGGGGTGCCAGCTCTATTCTAGTCCACAGCTGCCATCTGCAAGGTGCTTGAAACATTCTGCTCTTGATATATGCAGCTACCTGTAATCCCATCTTTCCTTTCCCCCTGGCTCTTCAGACACTAGTTCGGAGTGTGTTTCCCAGGGGCAAGTCTGCAGGAGGGGCTGTTGCTTCACAGTGGAGGATTAGGGAATTGTTTTCCCAAGCAGCTGAAGCTGGTGAACCCCTCGCAGTATCGCTTTGAGCACCTAGTGACGCAGATGAAGTGGCGGCAGCAGGAAGGCCGGGGCGAGGCTGTATATCAGATTGGTGTGGAGGACAATGGGCTGCTGGTGGGTCTGTCAGAGGAGGAGATGCGTGCTTCCCTCAAGACACTGCGCCGCATGGCTGAAAAGTACGCATCTCCTCAGGATCTCTACCCTCCCTGTAGCCGAGTGGTTCAGATGTTCTCCAGCTTAGGAAAACCCAGCTCTGTCCCCAGCACCCCCAGAACCCTTGCAGATCTGGTGGCTGTTCTGCCACCTCCACAAAGCCTACAGATCAAGGAAATTCCCCCTAGCCAATGTCCTTCATAACCAGAGAGGACCCTAGATGAGGGCCTGTGGTCTTTGCTGCTAGAGAGCACTATCGTTGAGTGTTAGGTTTCTGCGTATGTTTCTGTTACTCAGAGTTAATCTCCCTGGCAGATTGAGTTTTGCTCTGAATTCCCCTGTGGTTCCCTGGGAAGGTGATTCCCTGAAGGGCCAATCTTGCAGTGACCAGTTCCCTCCTGCCCCCTTTGCAGGGTCGGCGCTGACATCACCGTCCTGCGGGAGCGCGAGGTAGATTATGACAGCGACATTCCCAGGAAGATAACAGAGGTCCTTGTCCGGAAGGTTCCTGATAACCAGCAGGTATGGGGCCCCTTGACTGGGCTGTTCTCCCTGGCTTGGGGACCCTCTGGTACTGGAAACTGCCAGGCTCTGTCTAAGAGGTTTTCTGTTGGGAAGAGATAGGAATCCTTCCCCTGGAGGCACCTTCTTCTAGAATAGTTCATAGGACACACTTTAGTGAGCTGCCAGCATGGGATCACGAGACCCTCCTTCATCTGGAGGGGATCAGTTAGAACCCACTCCAAGTAGTGGGGGTTGGCTGGGTCAGGGAGTGAGATGACGAAGCCTTGCACCTCTGTGGTAGTGGGCCTTTTGAAGATCAGGCCATGACAATGAACGTCCGTCACACCAAGCATGTACGTGAACTTCCTTTTGTGATGTCATAGGCCAATATGCGTCATCACAGCAGAGTGTGCTGTGACAAACTCTGTCCCATGACACCATGGGCTAGGGGACAAATCTAAAGCAGCAGCCAGAGATTGCTGTGCAGTACAGTCCCTCTTGGCTACCCTTCAGGGAGCCTGTAGGGCATGCCTCTGCTGACATCTGGTGAGCACATGCCACCTGTCTATATGAGTGGGGTCCCTGTCCAAAGGGGACAGGTTCCCCTGTGATTTTTCTCAGTCTTGTTCCTTTAGTTCCTAGACCTGCGAGTGGCTGTGTTGGGGAATGTGGACTCAGGGAAATCAACCCTGCTGGGTGTCCTCACACAGGGTGAGCTGGATAATGGGAGGGGCAGAGCTCGCCTCAACCTCTTCCGGCATCTCCATGAAATTCAGTCAGGAAGAACATCCAGCATCAGCTTTGAGATCCTGGGCTTCAACAGCAAAGGAGAGGTAAGGGTGGCAGTGAGGAGAAAGGGACCAGATCAGTTACAGCAGAGAATGGGGGAGCGTGGGTGTCCTAACTTGTTGCTTCTGGCCGCTGCACCTGAAGGGATCATTCCTTATCACTTGTGGATCAGCCAAGGAACAGATGTCTAGTCCTGCATTCCCTGTTGGTGCAGTAGAGGTTAGGAATGATGCAGCTGAGGTGCTGCTTGTCCAGGTGGAACAGACATACTTTCTAGTGTCCTGCCTCTGCCTCCAGAAGAGCAGCTCTGAGGTTGACCTTATAGTGCAGCCATAGCAGTTTGAGGTCTCTTGGGCCTGGACTCTTTCCAAGTGCCAACCCTCAAGTTCTCTCTGGCACTTGTTTCTGCTTAGGTGGAGTTGGGCTTGGCAGCTCCCTTTTCTTTTGCATGCCCCTGCCTCAGCCTCTGGTTTCTCTTCCTCACTAGGTAGTGAACTACAGTGACTCACGAACCGCAGAAGAAATCTGTGAGAGTTCCTCCAAAATGATCACCTTCATTGACCTGGCTGGCCACCATAAGTACCTGAAAACCACCATCTTTGGCCTCACCAGCTACTGCCCGGACTTTGCTATGCTGGTAGTGAGTGCCAACACTGGCATCGGTAAGTGTGCCCCAGCTTGCCTGAAGTCCTCCCACTGCCCCCATCTTGCCCTGTGCCATCTGGATGGCTGTTTTCTGATTAATCCTTGGCTCTGCAAGAAACACTCTGGGTTCCTAGGGAGAGGCCCTGTCTTTCTGTCTAGGGTGATGCTTAAAAAAATCCTGCCCTCTTCCCATTACCCAGAAGCTGAGCTTCCATTTTCATCCCTGGTGAGCTTTATGGCCTGAGACACAAAGGCATCCTGCAAGCAAGTGATCTTGCTTCCTGTTACTTTTAGCTGAGCTCTCCCTGATCTCTTGTAGCAGGTACAACGCGAGAGCACCTGGGCCTGGCCATGGCCCTCAAGGTACCTTTCTTCATCGTCATCAGCAAAGTGGACTTGTGTTCAAAAGCCACTGTGGAACGGACTGTGAAGCAGCTGGAGCGCATCCTGAAGCAGCCAGGCTGCAACAAGCTCCCCCTGTTGGTGAACTCGGATGATGATGCTGTTACAGCAGCGCAGCAGTTTGCACAGTCTCCCAAGTAAGGGATCTTCATCCTTTCTTGCAAGGGTTGTGGTCAGTCAGCTTAGTCTGGGCTCCTTGGGGTATTCCTTGCTCCACAAAGATGCAAGAGGAGACCACCTTTTTAGGGGGCATTAGTTGAAATAAATATCTCTTAAATTATCCACCTGTCCCCTCCCTAGATTTTGTGTCATCCTCATTCATGTTCCTTCTCTGAGGCCTGTTCTGGACACACACAGCAAGAGCCAATGACTGATAGTGGAATGAATGTATTCCCATATTATCTAGGAGACAATGTTCCTGTGAGGAAACTTGAATTGATTGGGTGCAGATGGCCTGGCTTGAACCCTTTGTGGGTAGGTGGGATCATTGCCAGCCCACGCTCCCTTCCCTAGGTGGGGTTAGTTCTTTACAACAGTTCCCCAGGGTGGGTTCTGCAGCTGCATTGCACCCCTAGCTCATTCCTCTCTGTCTGTTTGGCAGCATCACCCCCATCTTCACTCTGTCCAGCGTTTCTGGGGAGAATCTGGATCTCTTGAAAGTTTTCCTCAACATCCTTCCTCCTCTGACCAACAGCAAAGAGCAGGAGGAGTTGATGCAACAGCTCACAGAGTTCCAGGTATGTAAGAGAGTTCCCTTCAGGTTATTACACTGTGCTTACCGCCGTGGTGGCTCAAGCCAGGCAGAGGGTCCCCTGGACTCGGGGTAGCAAAAGTTGTTAGCTGCTGGACAAGTAACAAGGGAGCTGAAAACAGAGACCCAGCTTGTACTCATGCTAAAAATCTATCAGACAGTTGGGTCCCCAGCTTAACTTCAGTGAGGAGATGCATTGACCATATCTGAATAAAGACAGCTTTTATGTCCATTTCTTAAGTCTGCGGTGTTTTAAAATGGGGAGGTGTGGGGGCTGATGAAAGCCCTGATGCACGCTTTGGTACCCTGAAGAAAGGAGCTTTCCTGCAGCCTGTGTTAGGTGGATGATTGTGGTTGCTTTCCCCATTGCCCAGTGACTAAGGAGCTTGCTCTTGTTGCTGTAGGTGGATGAGATCTACACAGTGCCTGAGGTGGGGACTGTCGTGGGAGGAACACTGTCAAGGTGAGTGCTGCTTTTTGTATAAAAAAAACAACACACAGGGCCAGGCTTTGGGTGTGGCAAGGGTGATGTGGCATGACCAGTACTGATCTTGCAGGGGATTTGATCTATGCTGCACTGCCAGGCCAGTGTAGGGCAAGCTGCCTTAATACCCTTCTCTGGGTGAGATGGGGAGCAGTGTAGGGATAAGCTTAGGAGCAAGTATTGTTCTAGGAGACAGGCACTGGTGAGAATCCTGGGCAACTAGCTGCACCTACAGGCATGAGGAGGGCACCTTGCATGAAGGAAACTGAAAGAGGTGATTGGTGGGTGGCCAGAGCACAAAAGATCCAGTGTGGGAGCTGTTCTGCTGTCAGGGCAGTGGCTGGTGCTTGGTTGGCCTTCTGAGGTAGCACTTTCATTGGACTCCAAAGTCCTGCCTCAGGTAGGAGGTAGCTTGGAGAAGAGCAGCAGGACCATAGCCCTATCCCTGATGAGAGCAGTGTTTGCTGTGTTGCCTCTGTACAAACCAAGGGGAATGTTCTTCCTGTTGGTCTCCTGATCAAGATTGGGTCTGCTGGTCCATCTCTCAAGGATCCTAGATAAACTGATCCACAGTCAGTGCTAAATTCCCTGCATTCCAGTGAAGGCAACACAGAGTTCAAGAAGGAGGTGCAGACTGGGGTGTCTATATCTCAGGACCAGACCCTTGGAATCTGAGCATCAGCATACCTGCTGTAGAGGAACAGGGGGCGGCACTGATTGCTTTGAGGAATTCTGACTCCCACATTGCCAGCGCTGATTAGTTGGGCAGACCCTGGAGCAAGAGCCCAAGCAAACTGCCTTGTAGTGGGATTTGGAGAGGCTGTGAATTGACTTCACTGAGTGTCACTTTCCTTGTGTGTCATGCTTAAAATGTGTCCTGCTCTTATGCCATCTGCAGTGGGATCTGCAGAGAGGGGGAGAACCTGGTGGTTGGCCCAACTGACGATGGCAAGTTCCTCCAGCTGAAGGTGTGTAGCATCCAGCGGAACCGTTCAGCATGTCGCGTGCTCCGGGCAGGACAGGCTGCTACCTTGGCCCTTGGGTCCTTTGACCGGTCCCTGCTACGCAAGGTGAGTCTTGTTCCCATCCTCTAGGACAGGGGTTGTCAACCAGGGGTATGCTTCTACACACCACCCTGCGCTTCTGCCTCCCAGGAGCAAAGGGAGGGGGGACAGCAAGGGCAGCAACACCCCTTTGCGGGCTGCACAGACGCTGCCCACCTGGCCGGACATGGGAGGGTGGGGGGAAGCTCATGTGCAGTGGCCACTGCCACCACCCACCACTCTGCATCTGGCTGTGAGCCTCCCCTTCTCCACTGCTCCATATTGGAGTTGGAGTACTGCATCCAGTTCTGGGCGCCACACTTCAGGAGAGATGTGGGCAACATCGAGAGGATCCAGAGGAGGGCCACTCACGTGATTAGGGGGCAGCAGGGCAGGCCCTGCGAGGAGAGGCTATGGGACCTGAACCTGTCCAGCCTCCACAAAAGGAGGCTGAGAGGGGACCTGGTGGCTGCCTATAAACTTGCCAAGGGAGATCAGCAGGCAATGGGAGAGTCCCTGTTCCCCTGTGCACTACTGGGGGTAACAAGGAACAACGGCCATAAGTTGACTGAGAGTAGATTCAGGCTAGATATCAGGAGGCACTACTTCACTGTCAGGGCAGCTAGGAACTGGAACCAACTTCCAAGGGAAGTGGTGCTCACCCCTACCCTGGGGGTCTTCCAAAGGAGGCTAGACTGCCACCTAGCTGGATTCATTTGACCCCAGCATCCTTTCCTGCCCATGGCAGGGGATTGGACTAGATGATCTGCTTGGGCCCCTTCTGACCCTACCAACTATGAAACTATTAAAGGTTGAAAACTCCTGCTCTAGGAGCTGCCACTCAGCTCCTCAGTGGTCAAGGAGTGATGGGGTCAGCGACCAAGACCTTGAGCCGGCAAGGTTGAAGGTTATTACTCTTTCTCAGAGCTGTCCTACTTGCTGGGAAGGGATTTGGGATACACATGAGAAACATTCACCCCAACTCCAAGCCTACAACCACCACCCTAAAATCTGCTTCAACTAGTGTGACAGCAGGCCTCCAGGCTTTGGCATGCATCCATGCATCTTTGTAGATTTTCAGGGACTGGGTTGGGGCTGAGCCCCAAAGCAAGGAAGAGATTATGGCAAGTTAAAGGCCATGGGATTCAGACCAAGAAAGGGCTGTTCTCTGATAACCTGAGTTTTGGGTTTGGGGCTGTCATGCAGGGCATGGTGATGGTGAGCCCAGAGATGAACCCCACTATCTGCTCAGTCTTTGAAGCTGAGATCGTACTGCTTTTCCACGCCACAACTTTCAGGAAAGGATTCCAGGTCACCGTGCATGTGGGAAATGTGCGGCAGACTGCCATTGTGGAGAAGATCCATGGGAAGGTGAGCTCCCAACTATGGAGTGGGTGTTGCCAGGATTCCTTAGTGTTAAGACCTTCAGGCAGAAAGAGAAGTGGGATAGGATGTCCTGGCTATCACAATCATAGATTTGAACTCGCTGCTCATCCCTGCTAAAGCCAGTGGACTTGGTCAGATTCCTCCTTTCCTCTCCTGAGAAGCTGCCTCTTCACTTTGCAGATGGTCTGCTGGAATCACTGGGGAAAGCATCAACAGGACAGGATAGGGGAGTAACCCCTTCTCCAATCCTCACTTGAAGAGAATCAATTTTTGTCCCAGGTTCCCCTTACAGTGGGAGGGACTCGGGCTGCGGCAATGTAAATAGTGGGTGACTGGGGAAAGGAGGGATCTTGTAACCATCCCAGTTTCCCAGTGCCCGCCAATGTGGGGCTAACGGTCATACTCCTGTTTGTATTGTGGTGACCGATTGTCCTGTCTCTCCCTCAGGACAAGCTGCGAACAGGGGAGAAGGCTGTCGTTCGTTTCAGGTTCATCAAACACCCTGAGTACTTGAAGATCGGAGCCAAGCTGCTCTTCCGGGAAGGTGTCACCAAAGGCATTGGGCATGTCACCGACCTTCAAGGCATCACCACCAAAGAGAACAGCTTAGAGGAAACCCTGGGGACAGGAGGACTGAGCTTCTGACTACCTTTCAGTGGGAGCGCTCTCCAGACACCAACGATTGGGGAGACTGATGGGAGCTCCCCCAGCTCTTCAGGTGCTACCAGGAGCTGCTGCTACCCAGTTCTAGCATGGGTTTCTCTCCTCCGCGTTGCAAGATGGAGCCCAGATTTTCTTGCATTCAGTGCCCTTCGTGGGACAAATGAAGCATGTCTTTGCATCGCCTGCTGTTTTCGTTAACCTGCCCTCTCTGAGAATAGACCAGCGGCAGACCTGGGCAGGCGAGTCCTGGCTTTGTTTCTTGTTTGGAAAGTTACTGGCTTAGGCAAAGCAAAGCCCCTGAAGTGAATGACTGGCAGCGAAGGGAACCTGCCTCCTGTCATGCAGAAAGATCAGCCCCATTCTGGCTTGCCGAGCATTGGGCCCTGTTGTCATACTGTTTTCCCTATGGGGCAATAGACCTTTGGGTAGGGGCAGGACCAAGCCTTGCCACCTACAGCAGGGGCTGGGTTACACATGGACTCACAAACAAAAGGAACGCCTCTCAAATTGCTTTCAGGACACTTTTTAACCCTTTGATTTTGGTTGGTTTTAATCCAGTTCTAATTTCCTTCTGTGCTGAGTTTTCAAGACTCCTCCTTAGTTTCATCTCTTCCTGTGTGTGTCAACTTGGGGGAAACCTCCTCCCTGGACTAGCCCTCACCTGGTGGGGTGACTTCTGCCCAGTGCTCCTGTCATGTGGGAGGTCTACACAGCCCAGTACAGTTGGCCTGCTAAAGGCAGCATGAAGCCAGATTTTACACCTGTCTCTTCTGCTCACTGAGGCTAGCCATAGCCTGTGCTTATACCTGCAGGTGGCTGTTGGAGTTTAGCAGCAGTGACTTGCAGTGGATTTGTTGCAGTCAGACTGTGCCCCAGCCCAGCTCGCTCCTTGGGGACTTGCCTTAATACTTAAGAAGCCTAGGGGGCAGTTAGCGGCACAACGCACAGTGGCTTCTACCATTGGATGCAATTTTGACAGCAACTGCTGCAGTGATACTTTTGCTCTCGTTCTTCTTGGTCAAGTAGAGGGGAGACGTCCTTGTCTCTGCCATGGAGACGTGTCTGAGGAAAGCTAGTGTGAGCCCATGGCTACTGAAGAACCTGTATGCAGGTAGAGACCAGCATGCTCCTGTCTCCCTCCACTCTGGCTATATACTTCCCCACTTGTGTCCTTCAGGTAACAAGTGCTAAGTAGTGAGGGGCAGCCTGGAGAGTGCAGTAGAGGCTGTATTGCTGTACGTAAGGCTCCTGATTTTCTTGGTGACTTCAGCCAGGCTGGTTGGCTGGAGCACTGCCTGCAGCTAGCATGCTGCATAAGGAGACATGGACAGCTGGGCTGGGTAGCGTCTGCAGGTGGTGTTAAGGAGAAAAAAGGGAGCTAGTGTTTTGCTCCCTGCGATGCAGATCAGATGCTCTAAGGCGAATGTCCCTCAAACAACCTGGGGCCAGATGCTTCTGCGGCCTCCTGCTCAGGGTTTTCTTCTTGCTGGGGCTGCCGCCAGGGTCCGTGGAGGTAAGACTGAATGGCTGAGTTTACCACTCCAATGAGCTGCTCTAGAACATCAGCTTCCTCACTACCAGCTCTGCCTGCAGCCTGCAAAAGTGGCTGGCAGTTTTGAAGGGGGGGAAGAAGATAAGTGGTTTGTTCTACCAAGAAGGGTTAAGGGGAAGTGCCTTCCTTCCCAACCCACTGTGCTGATTGAATCCTCCTGGCTTGGGGAGGCCTGTTACTAACACAGAACAAGTGCTACCCATTCCCTTCGGAGGGGCAGGGAACTGACTCTTGGAAGTACCTTGCCCGCTTCCAGCTGGGGCTGGAGGGCTCTTCTCTCTCTTCCCTTCACATATGGATGTGGCTGCTTTATTGGCTCAGATTCATTAAAGCAGGGGGCTTTTCCGTTTCAGCCCTGGCAGCTGGCTGGGTCCCAGTGCAGTGTTTTTGCCCTCATATATGCTTTCAGGGAGGACAGGGCCCCAACTACCAGCAAGAACTTCCCTCTGGTGCTACTGTCAGGGTAAGCATTGCCCAAGGAGGGGCTCCGTCTCCCTGTTGCCTGCAGTGCCCTTGATATGGTCTCCAGCACTGACACATCCTCAAGGTGCTGTTTCTTCCCTGGAAGAGCACTTTTCACCCCTGTCCTGTCCTTCCTTCCCTGTGTGGTGTAACTGTTCTTGGTGCCATGCTCTTCATACTTCACCGTTATGTTGTCTTGGATTTCTCATGCCAGGAGATGATGCCCATTTCCTTGGCATCTCTATATATAATGTACAGAATAAAGATGTTTTATTGAGAGTGCGCTGGCTGAGTGGTGGAGGTGGAGAGAGCTTTCCCAAACCTTGCAGCCTTTTGTGGAAATGACTTTGTTGCTAGGTCACAGCTTTAAAAAAGCTGTGTTCCCCTCCCCCCCCCCCTTCCCGTGCTCGGCCCTATAAATACAGTCTGGGACTGTGGAAAGAATGCACGTACGCTGCTGTTTACAAGCTTGCGCTGCCTGTTTATCAGACCTTAGCCACCCGTGGTTAAGATGACTCAGCCATGTCACCCTGAGCTCAGCAGTTCCTGCTGCAACAGGCTGATCTTGCTGTACCCACAGTGCTGAGTGGCCATGCACGCCTGTTACCTCAGGCCCTAATTAAAGGATCACTCCCCATAGCCTCAGCTTAACTGGTAGTTTTGTTTTGAAACAGTTCCAGCCTTTAGCCAGCATTGGTGGGAGGAGTGTTTTTCCTCAGCCTCCAGAGGCTGGAAACCAGGTTGGCCTGCATTTTAAAGGACTTGTTGCCACCTCTCTTGCCTGGATAGCAGTTGAACCGAGCTCTGTTGAATTGAAAGGTTGTATTGCCTTTTTCCTTACTCATCCTGTTTACATTTTTTTGCATGCCATCCAGCTTGGCTGATGCCACACACTGTCGGTTTTGTTTCCTGGCTGTCCTGCAGCAACCTGCTGCTATCACAAGAAAGTGATGCAATCTTATCAGTATGGTTGTAATTGCTACTCACAGGACAGCTGAGAAATCCCCTTGTTTCTGAACTCAAGATGTACAATGACTATGAGCCCCTTCTGCAGGTCAGTGTAGATAGTTATGGGACAGAAAGCTCTGTCCCCTAAACCTAGAGGGAAGGTATGAAAGCTGCTGCTGACCAAGGGAAAGCAGCTGTTCCCTAAAGGAAATAGGCCACAGCTGAGCCAAAGCCAATAATCAGTATAACATGGGGATGGAAATAAGCATGCAAATGCTGTTCCTGCCAGTGCTGGCTATCTATACTTAACCTTAGACTCTGCCCTCCCCCCTCTAGGACTCACCCATGGAGAACCACACAGCTGATGAAACTGCCTGCAAGCCTAAAGTTTTCAACCACACCCAGAACTGTTACAACGTGGCAGGAATCCCCTTCCCAGAGCCAAGTTCACATGCCAGCAGCTAGCAACCACTGTTTTGAATGTGGCCTGAGCCTGAAGAAGTCACCTCCTGTGGGGGAGGTGGGGGTAGATCCTGATAAGCTGAGCTCTGCTATGGAAATGAAAGCTTCCTTATTCAGCACAACAGCCGGTCTCTCCTCAGCACAGATTTGCTCTGCTGCAGTGGTGCTGTGTACTGGGGTGATCCTCTCTACAGCCCGCAAAGTAGGCTGTTCCCTACTTTGGGAGCTTGTCAGCCAGCCCCTTGTAGTCCTTGCTGCAGAACAGCTGGACCTGTATCAAAGGCCAGCTGATACAGCTGCTTGCAACCTTCAGGTAAAGAACATGCTACTATAAGCAGCAAAAAATAGGTGGAGCCTCCTCTCTGGAAAGGGAAAAGTGCTTTTTTAAACAGACCCAAGGGATTCTCTCTCAGCTTTTTTCTTTAAAAATCACATCACTGCTGTAGCTAGCCCCTAGTCCCAGGGGCCCCCTAGCATGGTCCAAAGTAGTTATCAATGCTCAGGGAGAATACAGAGCAAGTAGGACCAATACTAGTGCAATGGGTGCCATGCAGCAGAAAGCTGTTTCCTGCCACTATCTACACACAAATTCTCTGTCATGCTTTGAACTCCTGCCTCATGCAAAAGTCAGTGCTGAGGGTCCTGACATTAGTCAGCTGGAGTAGCCAAGAGAAAGAGGAAAATCCATTCCACTCCAGTAGCCTAAGCACATGACTAAGAAGGATACAATGTCAGGCTACATGACAGGCAAGCCCCAGCCCTGCCCTGCCTCACTGCGCCATCTTAAGTGGGGAAAACACCACAGCCTACAGAGACCAAAGATAACATTCTTTGCTTTTTGTGCAAAACTCCACAGCAGCAGCACACAAACCCTGGCACCACTTCCACCAGCACCCCCAGAAGTGGCCAGAAGGGCCTGCAACTCCACAGCCCCTAGCAAAGCTGGTGGGGCACTGCTGCTGTTTCCTCCTCAGGTCTAGCTGTTCTCAGCCAAAGGGAGAAGAAACATTTATTAGATAAAAATTGACAGAAAGGATAAAAACTTTAAAAAACAAAATCAGTTCCTTCTAAAATCGTTCTGGAGCACCTGGCTGGGCACAGGCTTAGGGAGGCAGCCGTTTAAAGAAGTAGTCCAGAGTCCTGGTAACTCCCTGTCTACGTCGCTTTGCGCTAGAGCTTGTGGGGGTCTTGGGCTTGCTTTTGCCATTGGCAGGACTGAGAGGCATGGCACAAGGACTGGTCGGCACAGGGGAAGTGCGGGGGAAGCTGGGCTCTGTGAAGGAGTTCTGCAGCTCCACTGCAAAGTGATAATCCATGTGCTCTGGGAGGTCCCAAACCAGCACCTGCTGGCCACACTTCTCACAGAGCAACTGGTCCCCTGGAGAAGTGCGGGGGGCCTGGCCACACCCAGAAGAAGGTGCTAAACTCCCCTCCTTCCACTCAGCAGCTTGTTCTGAAGCAGCTTCTGGTTCTGCTTTCAGGGTGGTCCTGGGTGCTAGGGCAGCAGAGGGGGTTCCTGCAGCACCAGATGACTCCTCACAGGGAAGTGGCTTAGAAGAGGGAGAGTTGCCCCCCTTGGGGCTTTGCTTCACAATGGCTTCTGGACTCTGAACTGTATTGAGCATGGGATCTTCTAGGTCCTGGTGTCTATCAGGACAAGGCAACAATGAGCCTGCACCAATGACAGCAGGTACACAGGGCCCTGCAGCAGCACAGGCTTGCTGCTTCTCTGCTGCCCTCTGGAAATAGGAATCAATGGCATTCACTGGCTTCTTGCCAGGCTCTTTCCTTGGGCTCCCAAGGGACTTAGCATTGGGGCTGACGGGTGCTGTGGCACCAGCTGTTGGGGCTTCACTGGTCAGGAAGGTGGCAATGCCTGCAGGGAGGAGGGTGGGAGCTTCAGAGAACTTGCTTGCAGACATAAGAAGCATTGTAAGTGGAGGGGACCTGTGAAGAAAAATGGATTAGTAACAGCTCGAAGACTGGCTACAGGAGCATAAGCCAAGGCAGGCTTTAAAGCTACAAAGTTTCAGCAGGCACAGAACACAGGTTGCAGACTGCTTGAAGCTAGGCAAAGTGTCTAAGGCAAGAGCGGGCAAAACGGTGGATCCAGGTGATGGCCAGGGGCTGGTGGGAAATGGAATCCAGCCACCTTGCTGTGGCTGGTTTCCATAGAGACCCCAGCAGCAGATGCACTGTAAGAGCAGGGGGGGTGGGGGGGCAGGGTTTCCATGGAGACCAGCCCCAGCAGCAGAGAGCTACTCCACAGCCAGGGCTGGGATCTTGCAGTGGTGACAGCGAGGTCCAGAGCTGGGGCAGATCCGCGATCTGCTGCCTGCATGCCCCTGCCCAGGGTGTGCGGACAGTGGATCACAGCTCTGCCCCAGCTCTGGACTATGTTGTCATTGCCACAAGATCCCAGCCCTGGAGCACTGCTTGCCCTGCCACATACCCAGCCAGTGCTGCTGGGGCTGGTCTCTATGGAAACCCTGGCCCAGTGCTGTCACAGCACTGACACTGTTGGGATCTCCATGGAAACCAGCCACAGCAGGGGTTGCTGGGAAATGGAGTCTGCTGCAGTCCCAATGCAGCCCGCGGGCCAGACTGCCTGCCCCTGGTCTATGGTGAGCTGGGTCTGGTGGTGTTTGACAAAACATTAGTGTCCCTTCAGCCTGCAAAATGGACTGCCTTCCTCTTCGCCCCACACCCCAAAGAAGACAGCTAAAATCAGGCTGGGCCTTTCACTCACAGGAGCAGAGGGAGCCCAGCCAAGGCTAGTGCTGCCCAAGGCTGCGGCAGCTGCTGCAATCCCCACAGGCCAGGCTGTGCTCAAGTGCCTGGATCTCCACCTGAGCCCAAGGCACAGCTGTCCTAGCTGGGCCCCACTTACCCGCTTGGGAAGAAAACCACACATGGGCGATATGCCCAGGACTGTGCTTTTGTGCCCATCCTGCCCCAGCCCTGGTAAAATCTGTGGGCAAGGAAGGAGCCCCCTAGGGGGCACTTGCCTGCCTGTACACTAAATGCCAGGAGCTTGGGGAATAAGCAGGAGGAGCTCATCCTCCTGCTCAGTGCAAACAATTACGATGTCATAGGGATAACGGAGACCTGGTGGGACTCCACCCATGACTGGACCACGGGTATAGATGGCTATACCCTGTACAGGAGGGATCGTGTAGAGAAAAGGGGCGGGGGTGTAGCTCTCTATGTTAAGGAAAACTACACATCCCTGCAAGCCGATATTGGCGACCAGGGTGGACGGCTGGAGACCCTCTGGGTTAAAATCCGTGGGGAACACAGCACAGGGGACACAATGGTGGGAGTCTATTACAGACCTCCCACTCAAAGTCCTGAGCTTGACCAGGAGTTTGCCCAGGAACTGGCTGAGGCAGCACGCTCCAGGACCATGGTTGTCACGGGTGACTTCAATTACCCGGACATCTCGTGGGAGGATCGCTCAGCAAAATCTGAGCGGTCACAGAGCTTCCTCTCGTGCGTGGATGACCTCTACCTGACTCAAGAAGTCCATGGGCCAACAAGAGGCAAAGTGCTGCTCGACCTGGTACTGGCTACTGGGGATGACCTAGTCGGCGACCTAGTGATCGATGGGAAGCTGGGTGACAGCGACCACGAGCTGATCACCTTTACCATCTGCCGAAAAGCTGGCAAGTCGGTCAGCAATGCGCAAGTCCTTGACTTCAGGAAAGCCGACTTTGACAAGCTCAGGAGGCTTGTCAGTGAGGCCCTAAGGGACCGTGACCACAGGGAGAGGGGAGTTCAAGAGGAGTGGTTGCTCCTCAAGGGAGCGATCCTCAATGCACAAACTAAGTCTATTCCATCTCGGAGGAAAGGCAGCAAGAGGGCACAGCAGCCCCCCTGGCTCTCCAGGGACCTAGCAGACCTCCTGAGGCTAAAAAGAAAGGCCTACAAAGGATGGAGGATGGGAGTCACCTCCAAGGAGGATTATTCTGCACTGGTCCGGTCCTGTAGGGAGCAGACCAGGAAAGCCAAGGCTGCAACTGAACTCCAACTAGCTTCGAGCATCAAGGACAATAAAAAGTCCTTTTTCA